ATGCCCTGGTGCCAGCTCTTCTGCTGGAGATGTGCCAGCTAGTTCCTCCTCAGCAGAAAAGTCAATCAAATCCCCAGCCTCTGGAACTGGTGTCTGGGGATAGGGGTTCACTATCTCCTGTCCGTGGAACTCAGGAGACATTATCAGTGCTGAGCAGAGTTCAGTACTGTCTGGCCCTGTTGCCAGGTCTAGTGCTGGTTCCTAATCAGCCAAGAGGTCTATCAGATCCCCAGTCTCTGGAATTTCCACTGCTGATTCTTGGGCATGCTGCCGAACATGTCCTAGCAGTTGCCTGTATGCCCTTCCTAGATCCAGTGAGACCGAACATAGCCTCTCTGCCTTCTCGCAACTCCTTCAGGGTGGGTTCTCCATCGCCAAACACAAAAAGATTTGTAAGGCTCTCTCACAGCAATCCAGGCCCACCAAAGTCATGTCCCTCAGGAAAGCATTCTGTTGCCTCCCCTAAATACTCCTGCTCTGCGTACCACCGCAGAGCCCGATATCTATTGTCCAGTTGTATCTCCTGCTGAACCAGCCTGTCCAACTCAGTCACCCATTGCTCCTGGGGTCGCTCTCCCGGGAATGGTATCCATAACTTCCGATGGTCCCTGGCCCTTTCCTCTGGCGTTGGATACCACTTACCTTTCTCCATACCAGCAGCCTGGATGGCTCCTCTCCAAAGGACCTCCCAAATCCGCTGCCTGAGCTCCAGGTACTGATCCGTAGACAGTCCTGGGGTATGTTGCAAGAACAGTCTGCAGCAGCCCTGGGAACTCTGATGCCAGGTCCATAGCTCCACTGGGGTGACTGACATCTTTTCCTGCTCTTGAATCCCGGTGGTGGTTTGGATGTGTTTACAGCTTGGAAGCACAATCCCACTGCTTGCCACCAACGTAACGGAACCGAAACCCGACCACTCTTGGGTATATTCTGTTATACCGCAGCTTCCCCTGTCCGAACACCATCCACGGACCACACCCTTGAAATCCCTCAGGAAATAGACAGCACCCAGCTCTTCTTAAAACAGGAAGCCAACTCTTTTATTTTACACACACAAGTTATATACACAGGGCGGGGAAACACAACCAGGAACAGGAAACACATCATCACCCCTCCCCATCCAACCAAGACACAGAACAATGGGGTAGCACATGGCAAAAGGCATTAAGACAGCCATGTGGCGGAGAACAAAGGACAACACATCAATACACAATAGACATTCACATTCACACACTGTACCCTAACAGGCACAGGGTCACTTAATAATAAGAATTTGGGAAGATGATACAGAGGTTCCCCCACACCCAAAAGTCACTCCCGTCCCAGGTGCATGTTGACCTTTGCTTGAAGTTGCTAAGAGTGATAGCTGTTATAACATGCACACATTTCTCTTTACAGTGCCTTGAAAACGTATTCTCACCCCTTGAAATTTTACACATTTTGTCATGTTACAACCAAAAACGTAAATGTGTTTTATTGGGATTTTATGTGATAAACCAACACAAAGTGGCACATAATTGTGAAGTGGAAGGAAAATGATAAATGGTTTTCAACATTTTTTTACAAATAAATATCTGAAAAGTGTGGCGTGCATTTGTATTCAGCCCTCCTAAGTCAATACTTTGTAGAACCACCCTCCGCTGCAATTACAGCTGCAAGTCTTTTTGGGATGTCTCTACCAGCTTTGCACATCTAGAGAGTGAAATGTTTGCCCATTCTTTCCAAAATAGCTCAAGCATTTATGAACAGCAATTTTTAAGTCTTGCCACAGATTCTCATTAGGATTTAGGTCTGGACTTTGACTGGGCCATTCGAACACATGATAATGCTTTGATATAAACCATTCCATTATAGCTCTGGCTGTATGTTTAGGGTCAATTTCCTGCTGGAAGGTGAACCTCCACCCCAATCTCAAGTCGTTTGCAGACTCTAACAGGTTTTTCTTCTAAGATTGCCCTGTATTTGGCTCCATCCATCTTCTCATCAACTCTGACCAGCTTCCCTGTCCCTGCTGAAGAAAAGCATCCCCACAACATGATGCTGCCACCACCATATTTCACGGTGGGGATGATGGTGTGTTCAGGGTGAGGAGCAGTGTTAGTTTTCTGCCACACATAGTGTTTTAGGTTTAGGCCAAAAAATTCACTTTTGGTCTCATCTGACCAGAGCACCTTCTTCCACATGTTTGCTGTGTCTCCTACATGGCTTCTCGCAAACTGTGAACAGGACTTCTTATGGATTTCTTCCAACAACGGCTTTCGTCTTGCTACTCTTCCATAAAGGCCAGATTTGTGGAGTGCACGACTAATCATTGTCCTGTGGACAGATTCTCTGACCTGAGCTGTGGCTCTCTGCAGCTCCTCCAGAGTTACTATGGGCCGCTTCTCTGATTAATGCTCTCCTTGCCAGGCCTGTCAGTTTAGGTGGATGGCCATGTCTTGGTAGGTTTGCAGCTGTGCCATACTCTTTTCATTTTGGTTGATGGATTGAACAGTGCTCTATGAGATGTTCAGAGCTTGGGATATGTTTTTATAACCTAACCCTGCTGTAAACTTATCTACAACTTTATCCCTGACCTTTCTGGTGTGTTCCTCGGCATTCATGATGCTGTTTGTTTACGAATGTTCTCTAACAAGCCTCTGAGGGCTTCACAGAACAGCTGAATTTATATGGAGATTAAATTACACACAGGTGGACTCTATGTACTAATTAGGTAACTTTTGAAGGCAATTGCTTCCACTAGATTTTAATTAGGGGTATCAGAGTAAAAGGGGCTGAATACAAATACATGCCACACTTTTCACATATTTGTAAACAATTTTGAAAAACATTTATCATTTTTCTTCCACTTCAGAATTATGTGCCACTTTTTGTTAATCTATCACATAAAATCCCAATAAAATACGTTTATGTTTTTGGTTGTAACATGACAAAGTGTAACATTGCAAGTAGTATGAAAACTTTTTCAAGGCACTGTATGTTGCTCTACTGTGCTTTCATTTGATCTAAATATAATCAAAATATCAGTTCACGCTAAACTGGTTTCGGTTTTCTGGTAGCAACCAGAGGGTTTTTCTGACTAAAAGTATACGGTGGTGTCAGCAGGGGTTGGACTTCCAGAGTGGGTCAAGATCAACAGGGAGCCCGAAAATTACTTAGCAGCCCCTGGGCAGGGGGGGGGGGGGGGGGCGCGGTAGCGTTACGTTTCCTAGACTTCAGCTTTCAGAGCTAGGTGTTACTTATTATTAAACCAGTAATAAATGAATTCAGAGATTTCCTTGATACATTTATCAACATGTGTAAATATATGATCAACATGTATAAATACATCAGTGGTTCATATAGTGAACTCGGTGTAGAGCTATTCACTCTCAGGTCATCACAGAGGAAAAGGGGGCACTCTTTACGTCTGGAGGAAAAGAAATTTCATCTCCAAACACGGAAAGGTTTCTTCACAGTGAGAGCTGTGAAAATGTGGAATAGACTCCCTCAAGAGTTGGTTCTGGCCAGCTCAGTGGATTGCTTCAAAAAAGGCCTGGATTCTTTCTTAGATACACAGAATATAACTGGATACTAACATTTATAAGTAAAGTTGATCCAGGGAATATCCGATTGCCTCTCGGGGGATCAGGAAGGAATTTTTTTCCCAGTAGGAGCAAACTGGATCATGCTTTGCTGGGTTTTTTTGCCTTCCTCTGGATCAACTGTGGGTATAGGATTATAACTTTTTTTTTTTCCTATGGTTGAACTGGATGGACTTTTGTCTTTTTTCAGCCAGACTAACTATGTAACTATTTATAGTCTAAGCCGGGGTACACACTGATGCGGTGCAGAATTCACTGCGGTTTCTGTGCGAATTCTGCACCATATCACAATTGCACCCCGTTCAGGAGAACCACTGCAGGTGTGTGTTAAGTCAACAACACCCCAAAATCAATTCAAAAAACGCGGTGCGATGTGCAGAATCGGAACGCATAGGTGTGAATACCCATGCGATCCGATTCTAGCACGGACAGGAAAAAAAAAGGGTCCTGCACCTTTTTGGTGCATATGCAGCGCGATTTGAGCCATACAAAATGTATAGCTCAAATCGCACCGCACAGAATTGGCATGTGATTTATACAGGAATGCAGTGCGGTTCCTGTGCGAATCACATGTGATGTGTCGCATTACAGAAGTGTGAACCCGGGCTTACAGATACAAGCGTCTATTTGAGGGCAAACATAATGCCGATGTGGCCCACAATGAAGTAGAGTTGACACCCCTGCCATAATAGATCAATGTTGGATTTGCTGGGCGTGCGAGGATGCTTATTATGCAAAACCCATCATAAAACGTCAGAGAATAGGAAAAAAGTGTTTAATAACATACTACATATGACAGTCACCCTTCGGTACTGTGACACCTCCATCCACTATTAGGCCTCATGTACACAGATGTTTATACGATAAGTCTTGGATTGCAAGCTGTCTGGCATTTTCCCGTGTCCCAGGAGCTGCGTACAGCTTTGAAATGCTGATGGCTCCTACCTCAGTGTTCACCCACACGTGTGTGCAGTGTATATCCCCAGCCGTGTCATTTCTGTGGTACACACGGGTAAACATGGAAGAAGAAATCAGCGTTTCTGTCTGCGGCCCGAGCACAGCTCCCCAAGTGCATGAAAGCGTCAGGAGCATGTAAACGTCTGTGTGTACGAGGCGGCCTTCTCTGACGAAGTCTGCCGTCGGTAAAGCAAAGTGTAGAAATATATAGCAGCTCCTAGGACAGCACCACTGCCTAGGACAGCACTATATATGAGCAGGGTATGGAATATTCACTGGAAGATTCCAAGGCCTGCCTACAACCGAACCCCAAGCCATAACAACTGATAGAGGCTGTCTAGCAGAGACCAGCGACCTCACATCCTCATCCTCCTCCTCCTCCTTGGTCCCCGGAATCCTTCCCACAATGCACCGCGCCGGCCCGGACTCACTTCCTCTTCAGCCATGGTGCCCTCTTACCTCTATGTGTGACCTCAGTGTCCTCCTTCTTGAGCGGCCTACGAGCGGTACGACCTTCCCTGCTCATGGCTTGTTTCTCAGGCTGTGTTGCCGGAGATATGGTGACATCGCAGTGAATGCCACCAGTCCGAATCCGCAACCAAACCATGGGGCATGCGCAGTAGAGCTCAGGGCTGCCGGTGTAGTGTCAAGATGAGTATCGCATGCAAATCGGTATCCCCTGAAGCCACTACGCATGCACCGGTTTAAGGCACGACAAGCCGATAGTCATCTTACCGCTCCACATGAAAAAAAAAAAAAAGTCCCGTTAAGGGGGTGCGGCCTGCTGTGGTGAAAGGTGTGGCCATGAGCTGAGGGGCGGGGCCAGGCTTGGTGTTGAACGAAATACTGAAGGGACCTGTCATTTACTATGGGAGTAGCGGAGGGATGAGTGAACATGCCTCTAAATCCTGAATAATAATAATGATAAGTGATGTCCAATTACAAACGGATAACTCCCATCATCACAAATTACAGTTCCCTGTTGCTGATGGAATTTTAACAACAGCATTGGGAAACCTGCATCAATGGGGTAACAGTCAATGACATCACCAGGAGCATCACCCAGGTTTTTTTTTTATGCTAAGAATTGGTGATGGGCTGAACAACCCCCTGTTCGGTTCATGGTCGAACATTCAAACCTAATGAAAGTTCGATCGTGAACTTTGAACGCAGGGGACAATTCACTATCTTGGAATTTGTTGCCATGCACTAAAAAATTGCTACAAAAGTACTGCATGAGTTATTAGGTCATTCGGTATTTTAGTAGTGAAAACCATGCGTTAATGTTTCAGCTGTCAGCGGGGTTTCCCACTGAAAGCTGAATGTAAAAAAGAATTAAACATTTAGCAAAAAGGCGTGGGGTCCACGGGTGATGTCTTTGAGCAGGGCATGCTGGGTTGATGATGTCACAAGGGTTGATGGTAATGGGAGGCCCCGCCCCTTAGATATTTAAGAACTGTCAGGCAGTTGGAGTTGCCAAACGGTGGGAGCCAGAGTTGAGAGTCGAGCCTTTTTCTCTTTTTTTTTGGGTCGGCAGTGGCGGCAGGCATTGTGATTGATGTTGGATCTGCTTCAAGGAACATTTTTTTATTTTTGTTGTTTTAACAAAGAACTTTTTTTTGCGAATGAGTAGGAGTACCACGTACCCCATACTCATTCACATAGGGGGGCTGGGATCTGGGGGCCCCCTTGTTAAAAAAAAAAAAACAACCCCCTGTCCGCAGACCCCCACAAACACAGGCCAGAGTTGCCCAAAGCACCCCCCATCTTGAGGGCATGTGGCCTGATATGGTTCAGGAGGGGGAGAAGTGCTTGCTTGTCGTCCCCCCCCCTCCCTTTTCTGACCTGTTGGGCTGCATGCTCGGATAAGGGTCTGGTATGGATTTGGGGGGGCACACTGTTTTTAAAAAAAATGTTGGTGTGGAGGTTCCCTCAAAATCAGTACCAGACCCGAAGGGCTTGGTATGAATGGGCCATTTGTTTTGCTAAATTTATAATTGTGGGCAATTCTTTTTACATTCAGCTGTCAATGGGAAACCCCGCTGACAGCTGAAACATTAATGCATGTTTTCACTACTAAAATACCGAATGACTTAATAAAATAACTCATGCAGTATTTTAGTAGTGTTTTTTAGTGAATGGTTAGGTTTGAATGTTCAACCACGAACCGGACAGGGGGTTGTTCGGCCCATCACCAATTCTTAGCATTAAAAAAATCCTGGGTGATGCTCCTGGTGATGTCATTGACTAAGTGTTAACCCATTGATGCAGGTTTCTCAATGCTGTTGTTAAAATTCCATCAGCAACAGGGAACTGTAATTTGTGATGGGAGTAGTCTGTTTGTAATTGGGCATCACTTATCATTATTATTATTCAGGATTTAGAGGCATGTTCACTCATCCCTCCGCTACTCCCATAGTAAATGACAGGTCCCTGCCAATTGCTGTATGTCAACAAACTGGGACAGGGAACCTAAGAGACATCTTTGACCAAATATGGTCATGCATTTACTGGGTTGATGACCCAGCCCTGGTTCACTCTGGTGCGACTTGTCATGCGATTTGACAGTTCCAAATTGCATGACAAGTCGCACACTATTTGTGCCTGTGAAACCGTTCAAATCAGTGCGACTCGAACTTGTAAATTCAAAAGTACCCATTTTGAAGGCTTATATGCAAGTTATTGGCCATAAAAGGAGTATGGGGACTGGGGTACTGCCCTGAGGGACATGAATCAATGAAAACAAAAATTTCAAAAAGTACCATTTTTAAAGGGGCAGTTATTTTTATTGCATAGTAAAAAAAGAAAAATTCCTTTAAATATCATACCTGGGGGTCCCTTTATACTACCTGCAGAGTTGCAAATCTGTACAATATATAGAACCTGCTGCAGCAAGACTGACAAAAAAAACAGCATGGGGTCCCCAGCCTAATCCATACCAGACCCTTTAGGTCTGGTAGCAAGGTTAGGGAGGACCTCACAGAATTTTTTTTTTTAAAAGTGCATGTGGTTCCCCCTAAAAGCCATACCAGGCCCTTTAGGCCTGGTAGCACTTCTAAGGGAAACACCACCCCCAGAAATGGGGGGGGAAAGCTTTGGGGTTCCTCCTAAATTCCTACCAAACCCTTGATCTGAGCACAGGCCTGGTAGGCCAGGAAAGGGGGATGAACGAGTGCCCCCCCTCCTGAACCACATCCCCTCAACATAGGGGGGTGCCTTGGGGTAGGGGGCTCCCCCCCAAAAATGGACAATGGCCTTTTACCAATAACCCTGGGCTGTGGTTATGGGGGTCTGCGATGACGCCGACTCGCCAACATAGAAAAAACCCAGATGCCCGCAGACCCGTCGGCACCCACCGAGCACTCGCCACTATCTGACATTTGCCAGTCAGATGTAAACAATTGGGCAGAGCTGGGGGTGACATCATTGCTAATTCCACCTATGATTGGCCAAAGCATTGCACCTGACTGGTCAGGTGAATTGCTTTGGCCAAATACAATGCACTGTCAGAGCGCAGTACATTGTGGGGGGCAGTGGGCGAACAGCTCGCTGAACGCCCTAACCATTTGTTTGTATGCAGAACACATGAACACCCAATGTTCAAGTCAATAAAATAAATAAAAATTATTAAAAAATAAAATATAACACATTTTAAAAATGCCTAGATCAAGGTTTAATCTAGCTCAGTGCCAGGGTTAGTGTTTGGGTCAAGGTCAGGGTCAGGGTCAGGATTTTTAAACCGTACTACAGGTACAAACAACAACTAGCATACACATACACTATATTGCGAAAAGTATTGGGACACCTCTCCAAATCATTGGATTCAGGTGTTCCAATCACTTAAATGGCCACAGGTATATAAAATCAAGCACCTAGGCATGCAGACTGCTTCTACAAACATTTGTGAAAGAACGGGTCACTGTCTGGAGCTCAGTGAATGAAAGCGTGGTAGCATGATAGGTTGCCGCCTGTGCAATAAGTTCATCCGTGAAATTTCCTTGCTTCTAAATATTCCACAGTCAACTGTTAGTGATATTATAACAAAGTGGAAGCAACTGGGAACAACAGCAATTAAGTGGTAGGCGAGGTAAAATGACAGAGCGGGGTCAGCGCATGCGCAGAAGTCGCCAACTGTTTGCAGAGTCAGTAACTAAAGACCTCCAAACTTTGTGTTGCCTTCAGATTAGTACAACACCAGTGCGTAGAGAGCTTCATGGAATGGGTTTCCATGGCCAAGCAGCTGCATCCAAGCCTTACATCTTCAAGTGCAATGCAAAGCATTGGATGCAGTGATGTAAAGCATGCCACCACTGGACTCTAGAGCAGTGGAGACGTGTTCAATGGAATGGTGAATCACGCTTCTCTGTTTGGCAATCCGGTTGACATGTGTGGGTTTGGTGGTTGCCAGGAGAACAGTACTTGCCTGATTGCAATATGCCAAGCGTAAAGTTTGGTGGAGGGGGATTATGGTGTGGGGTTGTTTTTCAGGGTTGTGCTTGGTGCATTAGTTCCAGTGAAGGGAACTCTTACGGAGTCAGTATACCAAAACGTTTTGGACAATTTCATGCTCCAAGCTTTGTGGGAACAGTTTGGGATGGTCCATTCCTGTTCCAACATGACTGCGTACCAGTGGTCCATAAAGACATGAATGAGCGAGTTTGGGGTGGAGGGACATGACTGGCCTGCACAGAGTCCTGACCTCAGCCCGATAGAACAACTTTGGAATGCATTAGAGCGGAGACTTCTTGTCTGACATCAGTACCTGACCTCACAAATGTGCTTCTGGAAGAATGGTCAAACATTCCCATAGACACACTCCGAAACCTTGTGGACAGCTTTCCCAGAAGAGTTGAAGTGGTTATAGCTGCAAAGGATGGGGCAACCTAATGTTGAACCCTACTGACTAAGACTGGGATGCCATTAAAGTTCATGTGTGTATAAAGGCAGGTGTCTCAATACTTTTGGCAATATAGTGTATGTTTCTCAGATTTGCTTGCAAATTAGTTTATATTCTGCTTCCCATTATATTTTATGGGCATTTCCTTCTGTCATTCACCTTTGTCTTTCCATGGAAAACAATAATAATCCTGCATGATCTCAATATTAAACATCACCACTGAATTTGGAAAGTATGTCTGCTAAGGATTTATTTGTAATGTTGAATGGTTCTGAATCCAAATCACACCTCGATTCCCATTATACTCTATGGGCATTCCATTTTGTCATTCACCTTGGTCATTCCATAGAAAACAGCTATAATCCAAAGTATTCTCAATTTTACAATCTGCTACTCCACTTGGGAGGGGGGTCACCTGTGGTAAATGGTAAATGGCTATGTTTCTCAGATTTGCCTAAAAAATATATTCATATTTTACTTTACCATTATATTCTAGGGGCATTCCCGTCTGTCATTTACTTTTGTCATTCCATAGAAAACAATGATAATCCCGCTTAATCTCAATTTTAAACATCACAAGTGACCTTCGAGAGTATGTCTACTAAGGATTTATTTGATATGTCTAATGGTTCTGATGTTAAATCGCATCTTGCTTCCCTTTATATTCTATGGGAACTCCATTCTGTCACTCAACTTGGTCATTCTATAGA